TATTTCACATTTCAATATGTTCATGTTCCCAGATCATGCAATGACCCGTATGTGTTTTGGAGGTAATCTATTACAGCTGAGGTACTGGATAGAGAATTGAACACTTTTCTCTCAGGCTGGGAGCTAACCCTCTCCAGCATGTAGATGAGATGGTGGTGGAAGCAGGTGAATGGAGTGCCCTGCTCTAAAGAGATGTCCACCCAGTCCCATATACACTCCAAAGGAGTATCTTCATAGCCGGAGAACATGGCAGGATTAGAAAGCAACCCCCGCGCAGCCATCACTCCTAATAAGAAAATCCAAACAAACAAGAAATGAATCAATTCATCATCAGTCATAAGTAGACAAGTGTCCTTGAAAATGAAATTGAAAATTGATTAAAAACAAACCTACCATCAACACCAGTAAGCTTGTAAGTGGACTCCACATCACGGAGGTACTTTATGTCTCCATTGGCAATGACAGGGACGGACACGCTGTCTTTGATTGTCTTTATGGCATCATAATGGACTGGCTGGTGGCGTTCTTCCGATGTACGGCCGTGGACTGTTATCCATGACACACCGGCTGATTCAGCCTTCTGGCACAGGTCCACAGTCCGCCTCAGGTCCTTGTGAATTCTGTGGGTTCAGTATATTTCTTTTATTATCATTACAACTATTAGCTTCTAACCCTCATTTTAACACAGTAAGTCATAGTGTTGTATGTAATCCGACGCATATACATTTATTTTTACCAGGTACAGTATAATGCATACATAACCCGACCAATACTGATATTAATATCTGGACATTTTAAAAATCTGATAATAATATATTGGCCAGCAGTAATTTATTGTACTTAAACATGTAACAAACAGTCTTGACCAGGAATACTGAACGAGACATTTAAAAGTTAAAAAATAAACTTGTCAATGCTCTCTGATGGACAAACTATGTAATGCTCAGACTGTTTCTCAATAACCTTCAACCCAGTTGGGCATTTCTGCAATGGTCTGTTACTTATTGGCCAACATACAGTATATACAGATACTGATATATCAGCAACGTGCTAATATTCAGTCAATCAATCGGGCTTGCAGCTTAATTGGTTGAGCTCCAGTATAATGTCGGACTGGTCCAGGTTTTTACCTTATTTTGATGGACGCTGTGTAGTTTGGATTGTCCACTTGGTTTCTGACATGTCTGACCATGTCTTTCACAAGTTCAGGCTTGTTGATGAGGCATGCGCCAAACCCGGCTGACATAGCCCATCTGAAAACACAACAACAAAGCTTATCAAACAACTCTGATGAAAAAATCTGAAAGATTTGCAGACATGATCAGTGTGAATGGGATTTCTGATCCTAAAATCAGAATTCTGTAATAACAGAATAATAAAAAGTGACTGGAGCCTAAAAGGTACAAGGGTCTAACTGTCAGTTGTAGCACCTTTGGGGACAGCCGCAGTTGAGGTCAACTCCATCTGAGAAAGGTGCTACAACACAGGCTGCATCAGCAAGAGTCTGGGCATCATGGGCAGCAAACTGTACAATCAGGGGCCGGTCATCTGAGAAGGAAAAGGAGAAACAAACAACGGTAATGAAGACTTAACTCTTATCATTTCTGGGGATGGACGATAACTATTGAACGAACGAAAATGGGAAATTTATGTTATTATGAATGATCAGGATAATTAAATTAAAGACGCTTAATTATCGGTCAATAATAATCACAAAGATTGTAAAGTATTTTTATGAAATTTACTAGAATAAATAAATAAATAAACATGTGAAGAATCAGAGCTGTTTGTTTGGTTTTGTTGTGTTATAGCGATGCCAGTTAGATTTGGTTAGAACAGAGCTATGTGATATTAAGTCATCCATCTTTGCTCATCTCATCCTTTCCTGCTATCAAGTGTGTAAAAACAACAGGTTCGGCCATGAGAAGCAGGCTCATATCGGTCATCGTAGGAGCTGAAAACACTGATCAACTGTGTGTGAAGACGCTGTGCACTATTACAACTAATATTGCAACATATTACTCACGCTCATTGGTAGTGAATTCACTGTCTCTGGCTTTGACAGATCGCATGAAATCAGAGGCAACTATCATTGGAGTGAAGCAGATATCACAGTCGTATTTCCTCACCAAGGACCTGAATGCAAGCCTATAGTGGGGGTAAAAAGACTTTATTGACCACACAGCGCAACAGAAACACAATAAGGAATAGTTGCACCTACAGCACGTCTCCTGTTTAAGGCAGAAGAGCAGAACACTTGATGAAACACAACAACCAAATACTTGATGTTAGGAGAATAACTTATTTAACTTACATTGTTTTGATTGATTGATTGATTGAGAATTTTATTTCGAACATGTAAAAGCCAACAAAAACACTAAAAATAAGATAAAATAAAAGGAAATGAGAGAAATATACCAATGAAGGAAAAAAGAAAAGAAAACGAGAACAGGTTTCCAAACCTTGGTACATGCCAACAGCTCGTTGTTAATTTCTCTTAACAATTAAATTGAATCATACATGTTCGAAAGCGAGTAGGAAGAAGTGTAGACTTATAAATTCCTACCCCTTCTCCTCTGCTTATTAAATTATTAATACTATTACTGATATATTAGAATTTACAGACTATCTTTATATATATCTTTTGTATATAAATATCTTTTGAATTTTCTTAAAAAATAAAGTCAAAGCTACCACTACAGAAAGCAAACACATTGCACTTACTTTGAATATCGAACCATTGGGGCACATATTTTCAGCACTTTGCCCTTTTCGAACATGTCCATGATGCTGCTGTTTCCACTGCAACTCTTCATTCTGCACAGGTTAGCACAGCTAGCATAACAAGCTAACGTGCTCAATAACCGAGAGTGGCGTTTGGTTTAACGATAGCTTCTGTCGTCTGACATCTGTTTCTTTGTTTCAGAGGCGAGGACAGACTGGATGTGTGCCGTAAAGCCCCACGCTGTAACATACACATTTAGCTGCATTTGCAGTTTACTGTAATTTAGTTAAAATAACGTCGCTTCAGTCCACAATGCGGGGAAGACATGTGGGCGTGTCTTTGAGACCTCTGAACTCATGCGTCATACAACGAAATGTTTATTTATTTATTTTATTTTATTATCAAACCATAAACATCAGCCAACTGGTGTAATTCGTTTAAGTTGACCAAGGCACTGACATTCATTATTATTTGTTTGAAAAAAAAAATTTGAAAAGTGTCGAAAAGGTTGTTCGATGTCACTGCGATGTCACTGCGATGCACTACGTCATACCCAATCATGCAATGCTGCCTTCAGGTTCTGTGGGGAAAGGTAGCTCTTGAGCTTTTAAATCAGTGTAGAAGATAAATACTCCATTTAGTTTGTGGAAGTAGCAGCTGTAGAAGAAGTTCTCCATTTTTTTACTTAAATAAAAGTAATAATACCACAGTGCAAAATACTCGGTTACAAGTAAAAGTCCTGCATTTAAAATTTTACTTTTAACGGTTGGCCTATTGGAATATATTTAAAGTACACCTGTTGCATAATGACCCATTTCAGAATAATGTATATTATACAACTTCTAATTATTGATGCATTAATGTGTACATCACTTTAATGTTGGTGACAAAGTGTGGCTATTTCTTACTATATATAGACTACCTACTGCTGCCTGAATTCCCCCAAGGGATCAATAAGGTTGTATCTTAACCAATACAAAATCATCATAAATTATTTCTTGATCATATTTTATATTATCACTCTGTATCTTTAAAGTACATAGTAGCTAAGGGTATTTAATAATTATATTAGAATAAAAGAACAAAGTAGCAGAAGAGTTGAGTAAATGTACTTCGTTTCTTTCCACCACTGAGAATTGGAATAACTTGCTGAAAAGGGGCTCATTACACACATGCAGGGATACACAAACAATCTCGGTGTCGTCAGAAAGGCAATCGCTTGTTTCATTTAAACTCCAAATATATTAATGTATTTATTATTACATTTCAAACACCAAATTACATTTATCTTCAGACGAGACACAAGAATACAAAGGTTCATTGCAAAGTTATTCTAAATATTAAGCTGCCAACCGACTAAACTCAATACTTGGCAGATTGTGAAAAGAAGCTCCTTAAGTGGACGTCTGCAATACCAAAGGGATAAGCCCAGATGAGTTATATAAAGCAAAAAACAAAAAGTAAAGTACACTGAGGCGATGGTGCAAGAGGTTGATACCTGTTCTTGAGCTCTCATCAGGTCTGGAATGCCAATGGTAGAGGCATCTTCTAGGGAAACCCCTCTGCCACAGAAAGGCTCAAGAAACACTGGACTAATGCATTAAGCACCAATGCTGCAATGATGCAGTAGTTCTGTCCACACACTAAAATTAATTAGTGGATCAAAATCTGTGGCCACAAGATCACACCGAGTTTATGAGTTGGATGTAATGTGTAATTTGTTATTTGTTAAAAGTCACAACCTTCTGGCTGAGATCAGAAGAGGCTTTTTGATTTATTTTATCTTCTTTTTTACTGTCAGTTTGTTACCATAATCATTTACAGACTAGTCACTAACAATTTTCCAGTCAACAAGGACTGGGGTAGACTAGAAAGCAAATTGCCTCGTACTTACCCTCTCTGGCCACTAGAGGGCAGTGAAGCAGCACAATTCTATTTCATAATTCTTTAAAGGACAATTATACTTTATTTTCCTACCTGTACAGATTGATAGCACGTCCTTCTGTGCAGATTGTTTTAGTGTGGTCAGAATATATTAGCTGCACAGCAGGTCACCCGCTCATTGGCATTTGCTTTGTGGTACTCAGAGTATCAAAAACATGTTTTGTGCAGATATATTTGCCTTTCCTTGGTGTTGGTGAGGGAGGAAAAATGTCTCAGGGTTACCCATTTTGAGAATCTACACATGCCATTCCCGTGGTCAAAAGTTTGTTAGTGGGTTTGTTATTTTGTAGGCCAAATTAATCAATGACCTCCATCTGCGGTCACATTTAAAAAAGAAAAAAAGGACTACCTTCTCAAGTACACAATCGTTAAACTAATGAACACTTTATTTCAAACTGGCACTGAATAAGTGTCTAATATCAAAAAGAAGCATCGACAGATACACCAAGTCACAAAAGGGCAACACAAAAATATCCCTTGCCATGACTGTGGAGAGACCCGTTAATCAGCTGATAAAATCTCAGAACTTAAAACTTCAACAGAATAAATACAATTTCAATCCAAGTCAAGCCAAGGAAAGTGATAGCAGTGGAATGCAGCTTGTTATTTTCACTTGTAAGTCAGTGAGAGATATCAAAGATACTATCCACTCCTCAGTAAACTCCACACACTCATGATCCATCTGTACTACCTACTTAAATCAGTTGGTTTAAGCTTACACAAGTTCCCTTAATCTACCAACATTTACATTATACATTATGAATCACAGCCATAATCAGTGGCCTGAGAGAAGGCTTGGGAAGAGCTTAGCTTGTGCTATTGTTGTGCAGAAAAAAAATACACAATACCCTGTGAAGAAACAAAAACACGTGTTAAGTATTTTCACCACAACCTCTGTACAGTGTGGATAAGTTAGTGATTTCTTAGCATGCATCCTAACTCCTGCACCACATGTAATTGCCTTTTCCTCTCCCTTACATACTAGTCGCACATACAGTTCTACAAGCACTTTTCTCTAGGATTACAAAGTCTTTACGCACACCTTTGATCAAATTTAAAACCAATTACTCTGCATACTTGACCAGCTTGGCGCAAAACATGATGACAGTGACTTGAGGGCAAATAAGTATTATCCTCATCTCAGTCCATATGAGTCAATTCGACAGCCAGTAAAAAATATATCAAATATGAGCATGCCTCTGGAAACCAACAAGCTGCAAAGTGAAGCATTTAATGAAATATCCCTTCCTGAAACGGACAGATCATCCACTGGCAGGAATATAAACATATCAAGACATGGACTGGATGGATATTTCACCCACTTTGTCTCGTCATCTCTAAAATCTGTAACATCGCAGATGTCCAAAGCTTGGGAACAGTACTTAAAAAAAGGATAACAGGCTACACAAATGTAAAAAGACAACACAGCAGGTCAATGGCAGCCAACCTCAGGGGAGCTACAGTATAGGGGCCATAGGCACAACCTGTCCCCCCTTCCCACCCTCACTGAGGTAGCTCTCTGCGGCCAGTCGCCTCCAGCTCCACGCTGGAGAGGAAACGTCTGGAGAGCCGGTGGCAGTCGTAGCTCAGCTCTGTGGTGTAGACGGCGCTGGTTTTCTTGGGGTATACGATGGTGGTGCTCTTGAAGTGCTGTGGCCGATGCCGGGGCTGGAACTCCAGCTGTGTCTTGTAGTGGCGCCAGGTACTGTGGGGCACGGCCATGATGGTTTGCCTGCAGTGTTCAAGGCCCTGGCCCCATGGCTGCAGGGTCACGCCCTGGATGAAGTGGCGGTCCGAGTCGTAGTGCACGGATGAGGTGTATCTGTGGAGGAGGGATAGCGTAATGATTTTATTTGGGGCAGAACTTTGGATTGTCTATTACACTACACTGCTGTTCTCTCGGTACACTGTTTGCAGTTGCTGGCTGTCTTGGTGCATATTAAAAGTAAAAATACCACAGCCTGCATGTCCTCATGGTGTGCCATATTTAAAATGCATATCCTCACTCCTCCAGCAGGTCTAATGCTGCACAGAGGTCACATCAAAGCCAACCCACCTTATTTCCTTTGGCGGTAGTGGATCGAGCGCTATGCCTTCCCCGAAGGACAATGGGTGTAGTTGCTGGAACGATCCGGTGGGCAAAACTGGAACCTGCAATGCAAAATAATCAGGCCCACAGTCAACGCATTAGAAGAGCCACTGCAGGTTCAGTGCTGAAGTGACCCACTTTTCTTCAGTTGGCCAGAACATGCAAGCCGGTTCTTGCTGGAAAGTGTTGTTGTCACAAAACGTTCACAAACATTTGGTTTGTTTATCAAAAAATTGGCTCATGGAGAAGTCAGCAACAACTGCAACAATTTCATCAGAACTGACTTCCTGTGTGAAGTGGCAACATCTACTCCAATGCAAGGATGAACTACCCTACTTTTACTTTTTTTGCGAACCCATCAGGCTTCCATGCAAGTAATACTAAATTCCTGGAAGTAGCCTATGCCAAGTCTTCCATATCAAATTGCAAAGTCCTAGCATTTAAAACAAGAAATGTTCTGCAGCAATCTCCAAAAGGGGGTTCATATATTGCTTAAATAACATAAAGGAAGCAGTGATATTGTTACCTACCAGGGAGCCTCTTCCCTCGTCTTCAGACACCGGGCTCACGCCCCCGGCTTTCTCCGTGCACACAGGCAGCAGCCAGGCGCTGGGGCTCGGGCTCGGGGGTAACCCAGAGTCCGGGCTGTCTAGTCCTCTATCAGCCCTGCAGCTCATCATATCCAGTGGATCTCCTTCACATACATTTGGCAAGTTCAACCTGCCAACCATTTCTGGTTAAAAAAAAAGTTGCAAAACTCCAGCGAGTAAAAGGCAGATTACGAAAGAGAAATACTTCCAGATTGCAGTTCCGTAAGAGTCCTCGGGTTTGTTTTTTTTGTTTTGATGCAGAAAGTCCCAACGGTGTCACCGCAAACCTCCTCCCCGGACAGGATGCACGACCGCCCGCTGGAAGTACAATCAACCGGGCGGTAATTCAGCCCCCCCGCCCAGACCTTAAAAAAAAAAACACCTTACAGCACGAAAACTTAAAAAACTATCCTTTACTTTGACATTCAAAAAAAAAAGTCACAGCATGACTCAGCTCCACTGTGAATGTGTGTTCGGAGACGAGAAAGTTTGTCCGCAGCAGAGCCGAGCAGAGAAAGGATGTGAGGGGACTCCTGCTGCCCGCGGCTCGTCTTCAAACCTCCTCTCCCCCCCCCC